TCAATTGTTTCACGTTACGGGTAGGAGAGATAGAACGATCTGAAACGATGGAGCGCTGTATTTTATTGATCAGAAGTATGCTCACAGGTGAGAAATAAGATTCATGCAAAAACCGACATGCGTATCACAGCGGAACACCTCATCCAAACCGATTACTGACAAGCATTGTAGTAGTCAGTTGTCAAATACTGTTCTACAAAAGCGTTATGACTTCCTTACCTCGAACTATACTCAAGTTATCCAGTTGCACAATAAAATTTTGTAATACGAAAAGTGCAATGAAATATTAATATACATAAGGAGGAAAAGCTCATTACAATATCAATTAACAGATGGGACAGAGCACAATCAGGTTTGTACCACTAACAGTATGTTTCGGCTAACTAATATTGGTTTTCCGAAAAAAATTTTCGATTTGAGAAGCCAAATAAGCTGTGATTGGATGAAAACCACAGAGCAGGAGTCATTGGGACAAAGTAAAGAAAGCGATGAAAGGAAATGAAATTTAGCAAACGGTTTATTAGATCAAATTGGAAATGGGGAAAATTAACTGACCTTGGGATATTCTGCATCCCATATCTCCCCATCATCACTGTCAGAGTCCGGCACAACAGCTAAACTAACTGCAGCACGTTTTCTGACAGTGCCTGTGTCCAAATCATCTGCAGAGCGACGGCGACGATCTTCTCGACGGAAATAGGCATCCAGACGACGAAGTTTCTTGTCAATTCGAACCACTTCAATGGGAGAGGCTCGGCAACGACGGCGCAAAAGCAGTTCTCTTTGGACCTGACAGAATTCATATCCATGAGTAAGTGCATGGTAGAATACAGTGAGTGTGAGTACGGGGAGTTAGCAAACATAGACTGTCATTACAAACTTCGCAACCACTTAAGGTAAAGTAAAAAAGTGATTTTTCCGCCAAGTCAACAATATCTGGTTTGTAATTTTCGCTTCTTTTTTATTACGGGACGCATCATTCGTTAGTCCATTAGCTCCATCCGTGTTGACTAATCTGATTAGCGTGACCATTAGATGAAAACGGTTCACTTATCAATCAAAATAGCTATCTTAGATGCAAAAAGCGAGTTTCTCGTATTGAAATCAATGTTTTGTCATGCAAGCAAAACATCCACCAAAATCATATATACGGACAACAGAAAATCGATGCCAATGGCAAATGTGTTTATTACCGAAACTGTGAGGTACCCGTTCAGCATAAAAACAGTGGACGGCGGATTTGATCAATTCACGAACTCTCAAAGACATGCAATCACTGACGTCCTGGATGTAGTCTGTAGTGCACGTAAGATAAGTGCATCGCACTCTAACTTCTGTGTAGCAATAGAAAATCAGATATAGCTCTTAGCACAGCAGAAAGTGAGACCACGGCGCCGAAGCAACCATACGTTGAAAGAGAAATACAGAAACAGAAAAAGCAAAAACGATCCGTTTTGGGTAGAGGGATAACAGCCTTTTTTACATGTTACTGCACGAAATTTTGAACCTTTTTCGTCTTTTAATTTTGGGATTTTATACACGAAAGGGTAGATTCAGGCCACTGACGTCGGTTCGACGCTATGTCCCACAGTGTCTCCAATCAACGACAATCTGGACCTTTGCGGGCCCACCGGAGAGATGGAAAGTCCCAAATGGAAGCCAGATCCGAGCACAATCTCCTCGCTCACCTCTCCGCCAGCAGTTATACAACTCCCGAGGTAGACAAAGCTTTCAGCTACTTCCAGGATTTGGTCACCAATTAAATGCGCAGGAACGGGTTCCTGTCGATCTTGTAACAGCAAAAACTGGCACTTTGAAGATGAAAAGGACATACCATAACGAGTAACCTCAGTTACCAAACGATTCAGGGACTCTTGAATAGTCGGTGCATTGTCACCGAATCAAACCATATCATCGGCATACTCTCAGGCTACGACTGTCTCTAGGAAGAAGCTGGACGTCAGCGTTGGCTACCTTAAGGAGTTTTGCAAAAAAGGGTATCACTTATGGCAAGGAGGAAAAAAAATGGAAAGATTCGGCAACTCTACCGTACCCTATCTCAGTTTCAGTTTCAGTTTGAACAACCATTACCCATGCATATACGAGCGCCGGTTTTGATTGCTGTCTTTTGGCTGCCGATTTAAATGAAGAATAGGAGAAGAAAGAGAAGTTGAAAGGGGAGTAGAACAAAAAATGGAGAATTTCAGTCGTCAAAGCTTCCATAGAAACCGAGATGCACGAAGGATACTGTTTACGACAACCAGCCACTCAGTATCTGCTTCGGTGAACATCGCTGGCCGTGGTAACCTATCTGGTGACATGCGTAACATGTCCCAAACAACGTAATCTATGGAGGTCATCCAGCTACCCCACTGTATTTACCCAAAACTCTGCCCCTTCCTCAGCATTGGCTCATCCGGCTACCCCACCAGATTCGTCAATGCTGCGTAGACAGCGGTGTTCAAACACCGACAGTCTGCCTTTATCTTGTTTTCTTATTGGCCAAGTTTCTGCACCGTGTAACAGTACTGACCGAACTGTCGGCATACACTCGACCCTTCACAGACAGCCGGATTTCGCCACGGCGCCACAGATGTCTCAAGTTGGCAAATGCCAACTTATCCACCCGCTCTATTACTTCCCCGGTTAGAGTGAGGCTCGGTGCTGGACCAACCCAGTCTTTTAGCAACATTTTACACTTTGAAGGCAGTGACAGAGTTTAGAGCGGTCGACTGAGTCGAAAACCGCTTTCAGATCTAGGAAGACAGAGATGGTGGGTCTACGAAAAGAATGCCGGTGCTCCAGAATTTGGCGCAGAGTGAAGATGTGGTCGATACAACCTCGACCGGGTCTGAAACCAGCCTGGTTCTCACGC